CAGCCACTGTGTCAATGCATCTCATTGAAGGTCCTCCTCTTTTCTGACTCTCCGCTTTACCAAGCATGTTGTCCTTCTCCAGGGACTTGTCCCTCCTGGTAACATGTCCAACATACATGAGACGAAGTCTCACCACCCTTATTTCTAAGGAACAGTCTGGCTGTACTTCCAAGATAATTTTTTTGTTCTTCTGGCAGTCCATGGTATATTCACTATACTTTACCAACACCATAATTCAGAGGCATCAATTCTTCGGTCTTCCTTATTCATTGTCCAACTTTCATATGCATATGGGGCGATTGAAAATATCATGGCTTGGTAAGGCACGCTTTAGTCCTCAAAGTGACCTCTTTACTTTTTAATGTTATAAAGAGGTCTTTTGCAGAAGATTTGTCCAATGGAAGACATCGTCTGATTTCTTGACTGCTGCTTCCATGGACGTTGATTGTGAATCCAAGTAAAATGAAATTCTTGACAACTTCAGTCTTTTCTCCTTTTATTATGATGTTGCTTATTGGTCCAGTTGTGAGCATTTTTGTTTTCTTTATGTTAAAATGCAATCCATACCAAAGGCTGTAGTCTCTGATCATCAGTAAGTACTTCAAGTCCTCTTTTCTTTCAGTAAGCAAGATTGTATCATCTGCTTATTGCAGGTTGCTAATGAGTCTTCCTCCACTCCTAACCCTGCATTCTTCTTCATATAGTCCAGCTTCTGGGATTATTTGCTCAGTATACAGATTAAATAAATATGGTGAAGGGATACAACCCTGATGTACAACTTTCCTGATTTTAAACCATTCAGTATCCCCTTGTTCTGTTTGAATGTCTGCCTCTTGGTCTATGTATAGGTTCCTCATGAGCACAATTAAGTGTTCTGGAATTCCTATTCTTCTCAATGTTATCCACAATTTGTTATGGACCACAAAGTCTAATGCCCTTGCATAGTCAATAAAATAGGTAAACATCTTTCTAGTATTCTCTGCTTTCAACTAAGATCCATCTGACATCTGACATGATTGCCAAATACAACACCGTGAAATTTAGTAAAAGAGAGTAAAGGCTTCAAATTGATGAGGGAAACCTGCCTTTACTGCTTATGTAAGAAAAGACAAGAATTTTCCAGCACTCTGATGTGACCATCAAAACTGCTAGTGTAGTTTCAGAATATCTAAATATTTAGAATATCTTCTCTGCTATCCATGCATAATTTTAGCTCAATACTGAGTTCCAGACCTTAACAGAGATTCAGATAAACTGACACTCAGAGTAAACGAGCAGACTGATTTGCAGCCATATTATATGGAAGAGCAGTTGAAGGACCTGGAGATGTTTGTCAATGACGTCAATGATGGCAACAACCGGAGGAATAGTAAATATCTACTGAGTGCTTAATATATGCCTGGGACTGTGCTAAGCAATTGCACATTATGTCACTTAATCCTCACCGCAATCTTATTTTGGGGGGAGGTACTATTTTTTACCAGCCCCTTATATACAGATGAAGAAACTAAAGCTTAAATGAAAAAAAAAAAAAAAAAAACTTCCGCAAGGCCACAAAACTAATAAATGGCAGCACCATGGGATTTAGACCATAGGAATGGTAGCACAATAAACTTAAATATTTGAAAGACTCACAATGAGGAAGGATAAAGATTTGTTTCAAATGGCTGCAATTATTGGAACCAAGACCAGTGGGTAGAAGTTATTGAGAGACAGATTTCTGTTGAGTATGAGGTCGCCTATTCTTTGAAGGCCCATGGAGTGGTCCATTTCTCCCACTCACTAATCACTTCCTTCTCTGCATCCCTCTAGTTTGTGTCCTGCTGAATTTTACATCCATATTTTAATTTTACGATATATTTTAACTTCCTCTTCTTTAGCAAGGAGCTCTGGTAGCACAGTGCCTAAGGCCCTTGACTGCTAACCAGGAGGCTGGCGGTTCAAACCCACCAGCCACTCCTTGGAAGGAAGGTTGGGCAATCCTACTTCCGTAGTGATAACTGCCTCGGAAACCCAAGGAGGGGTCGCTAGGAGTTGGGGCCGACTCGATGGCAAATAACAACAACAACAACAACTTCTTTAGCAATGCCTTTGAAGGGATTTTCTTCTCTTGATGCCTCCCTTTCTTCCCCACTCACTCTTACTGTAGAATTTAGCCATACTACATGAAAACTGTATTAGGGTTACCCTGGCCAGATCGACATTTATCCTCAGTCCTCACATTCTTTGATCTGTTATCCATGTCCTCCTTCCCAACTACACGCTTGGACTGCATGAGTGTATTATGTGTTTCTCTTCTTCCTTTGGATTCCTTTTCCCTTTCTGTCCTTTGCCCATGAGTGTCTGGCAAGGCCTTATCCCGAGTCTCTGTATTTGAGCCACTCTTCTGATTACTTCTGGTCCATTTTTTATCAGAAACTCAAGATGCCAAAACCCAGAATTGCTTTACCCCTCAAATCGATCCACTCCCTAACCTCCCCATTCTGTTGATGCCAGCCCTACTATCCTGCTCCTCCAGGGCTACATTCTGTTCTTTCCTCTGCCTAAAACCAACCACCAAATCCTATCAACTTTTCATTTATAGGATCTCTGAAATTCTTTTCTTCTTCTCCAGTCCCACTGTCACCCCAAAATGATTATTACGTGTTAGCTCTCTCCAACTCTCCAAAATGTTTTTGTCACTGCATGACTCCAGATCCCATCACCTCCTTGTATAAGAACGTATGACAGTTCGTTCCTTCTTGCCTGTGAAATCGGGCCCATCCACTCAACTCAAGGTATTAGGCAGCTGTTCCAGGTCTTCCCGGAATAAACCTTCTATTCCAGTCCTGCTAGCTCTGTGCAGTAATCCCCTGCCCTGAGTCTCAGGCTTCTCATGCCCACTATTTACCTTTCCTCATGCTACTTCCCTGCTGCAAGTAGTGTTGTCATTTGCTGGTCTAACTCTTTATTCTTTAAGGCCCATGTGGTGGTCAACTTTTCCTACTCACCAATGACTTCATTCTCTACATCCCTTTAGTTTTCTGTTCTCTGAATTTTACATCCATTTTAATTTTGCATTACATTTTTAAAAGTTTCTTATTTCCTTAAAGTAGATTTTCCATTTCTTCAGGGCCACACTGTTTTTGTTCTTTATCCCAATAACATGCAGCATTGGACTTCTCAGACAGTTGCTTAATAGAGACTTGAGTCAGGGAGATAAAAAAAGAAAAATAGTACTGACCATTTATTAAGTTCTTTAAATGCACCAGTCACTGTACTATGTAAAGGGATGGCCCTCATTTTAAGATGAGGAAAGTAAGTCTAAGAGGTTAAGATTAAGAAGTGGACCCAGGATTTGAACCTAGGTAATTTGGGTTCAGAGCCTACACATGTTCAACCACTGACCATGATAAACATTCAGAGCAAGAGTCAATCTTACACTCTTCTTATTAACCAATAGGACCCCGTAAGACCTTTTTTGTGTATCCCCTCCTAGAAGTGTGATATTTAGGGAGGAACCTCATTATTGGCCATGACCTCAGATAAGGGTAGAACAGCAACTTTGTATAGAAGGCCATTAGTTGAAAATGAACTTGCTTGATGTCAATAGTTGTTTAAGATTAGTATGTCTGTTACTTCCTTGACCTCACACTGGCTGAACTTTTGTTATTTTACCTTTTCAAAGAGTTGATTTCTTTTTGGGTTTTTTTTTTTTAGATCTGTTCCATTAGAAGCTCAACTCTGAGATACTGACAAAGAGGATCTCAGTCCGCATATTCTTTGTTTAATTGCGTAGGGATATTTTGCCACCAGAACTATGTGCTCATTATCTATAAAATTAAGGCAATCATCTCAGAGTATTAAGTTATTAGACATTTTAGAAGATGATCTTTATCTTTTCTCTATTTTGTAATAAAAGGAACTATTAGCTCAAGTGTCAAAAAAGGACATGTTTATAGAAAAAAATTGGTATTTGCAGAAGTTACTTGTGGCCCCTGAGGGCCAAAGGAATCTCACCACCCAGGAAGCAGGAGCCACAGATACACATCTGGATGTATTTGGGTGACCCTGGCCACATGTATATGCATTCTCTCTGGTTTCTGGAGCAAATATTATATTTGATGACAAAAAGGATTTTTTTTTCCCTAAAACCTTACACTCTTATTCTCTTAGTGTTTACCTTAATATTCTGTACATAAATATAAAAGTAGGCATTTTTAAATATCAGCTCTAGCTAAAGAGAAGTTATATCCTTCACAGACGGTCTCTACTCTAAATATAACTTAAAATAACCACTGCATAAAATCTTGCTTGGCCAGCCACCACTCTTTTATTTAGAACATAAAGTATATGTCATCTGAGGACTGCCTGATATTATGCCCCATTTTATTAATATTCAAAATATTTCTAAGAATAAAGTATTTTCAAAGAATATTAATGTTCATTTCCTTTACTGGAAACAGGACACACTGTGACATAGTAGTAGAAGGCACAGTGAACTAGAATTTACAAGACGACGTTCCAGATCTGGTTCTGATGTATAACCTTAGGCACATCTGTCAATGTGGGACAGTTTCCTCTTCTGCAGGGAGGGAGAAAGGTTTCCCCAGCTCCCAAACACAGGGCTTCTGTCATTCTAGCACA